AATCGAAATCTTTGACACCCTGTATCTCGGAAACGGTGAACTTTTAGATATATTTGGCCAAATCTTTGGTATATTTATTTTGAATGTACAATCCATTGCAAAGATGCCAGTAATACCTGAGGCGCCCTGTATAACAAAAAGAAATTGCAAATATTATTATACATTTTACTTCAAAAGTTTACACAGTTTGTGTATATTTCTTTACTTATTTTACAATTTTTACTTGAATATGTGGCATGCAACTATTTTAAAAAAAGTTCCCGTAAAATATTTAAAACATTTTACGATACATTATGTATAAAGAGAGATATAGAGATATGACAATTTTGCCGAAAATTAGGAATCGTCTTGATAAAACGATAAAAGGATAAAACCACCCTGTTTATATTTTCACTACCTACCCCCAGAATCACAAAACTACTCTGAAAACCGCTGAAAACACTACAACCACCCCAACTACACACATTCATTGACATCTCAAAACACTCTACCAAGTCATAGTTACATATTTTCCCTTTTTTTTTGCTATTGAAAACGATATATTGATTTAAACGTCTACAGTCTTATAAAAAATAAAAGCAGAGTTTCACGTAATGATGGAATGCCCAGACCACTTCTGCTTGTCGCAGAAAAGCCCTTACGTTCGCCTCCGAACATTTGTTACATGGTAAAAGTTTATATGTTTTTCTAACATCTAGCGTTACAATACCTATTCCTTAATGTTGCTAAATCTTGAAATATTTTCTTAAATAGAAATACTACTGCAGAAAGGACTTACATACTAAACTTATTTCCGTGTGTGTTTCTGAGACCACTATAATTAATAAAATAATTACAGTCTACCTTATATAAAATACTTTTATATTAAAAATTCTACTAAGTATATTGTAAAAATATGAAGTACAAGTTTACCTCAAATAAATAACATCCTGTTTCTCAATTAGAGATACGACTAAATGTAGTAGATAAAGTTACATTTTAATTCATTCAGTAAATCAATATGAGTAATCGCTTTCTTTTTTTACACAATAGTAGTAGTAGTAGTAGTAGTACTTCTAATGTATAAATATAGAAAATTGGAAAAGTGGCTTTGAAATTAATATATTACAAATTTTTTCTGGTTTTCTGTTTTTTTTTAAGGTATTTTTGTTATTACCTAATAATAATTTTTGTATATTTAAAAAAAAATTGGGCCAAAAGAATAAATCAAGATTTGATTTTATAAAACAATTTAACTAACTAAAACAGTTTAAATTTAATTTTAAGTATTTCACCCAATTTCACTCAACTATACTCAATAATGTATCGATTTCTATCCAGACCCGATTGAGTGAAATATTCACTCTATTAGTATGAGTGCAATTAAAACTTTAAGAGTGAAAAACTATTGCAACAGAAGTGAGTGAATTTTACTCAAATCCGAGTTTCTGCTAACTATCAAGGAGTGACTTTTGACCCTATTCTGAGTATGTAAAACTAATTAAGAGTTGACTTTTTCTCTAAATTTAAATATTATTTTTTACTCAGACTTAATTTATATTCTCTTTAAATTTGAATTTAAATATCATTGTATTAAAGTCATGAACTACTAAGTTGCCATAGTGGTTCCTCCAAAGATTTGTTTTGGGGACAATATTTTAGGTCTCGATTAAAAGAATTGGTTAACTAATAGGAAGAATAAATTGCCATAACCTATATTATTGTACGTTACAGATACATAAGTAGTATAGGTAACAATCTAACTATCCGCTCATTTAACCAAATATGAATCGACTCTCAATATACTATTGTTTTTAATTATTGTAATTAAACCACAGCAATTAGACATAATTTTCACCAAAATAACTGGATAAACGGATACTTGTCCAGCACTACACGCCATACACCACGCCACGAGAAGACAACGCACGACAACCATTGAACGGGGTGGGGTCACTCAAAACTAAAGACATTTTCTCCGATTTAGGTAGGAGTGTATTAAATACGAGTTTATCTGAAGAATGTATTTAACGGGTACCTATATTTGAGTGAAAGTATTCAGTTTTAATTCAAATATTATCACAAATGAGTAAAATTATTAAAATGCTCAATATTGAGTGAAATTGTACTCAATCATTTCACTCAATGGATTCACTCCGTACCTTTATTGCTTTCACTCACACCAATTTTTTTACAGTGTACAGAACTTAGATTTTGTACAAAAATCACAACAGTTGTTAAAAATGACCTCCTTTTACAGTAATGCAGGCTGCCAACCTACGTCTGAGTACCTACCCTTTCAAAAATGCGGAGTGTTGCGGATCGAATTGCAGATTTCATCTATTTTCGATTTTGTCAGTCAGGTGTAAAATGTTTTTGATATATTATCGTTCCGTGTAAATTTATTTTAAAATAAAGTGTCAACAACAAAACTAGATATTTATTAAACTATATTACAATTCATTTAATTACTTTTTTAAATACGCTTATAAGAATGTTAAGGACGTGTATTCCTAGACATAAGCTATTTTGTAGTGAGTACTACCAACGATGTTGTAAATGTAGAGACAGAAAAATCTTAAACAGATCATCCAGTTATTGGCACGTAATAGTCATCACCAAGGCTTAAAAAGTATTTTTTAGAATCGTATAAATAAAGTCTATCAGTGACGTAGAATGTATCTGGATTCCGGACAAAAGAATACATTTTTTATAGTCTGTTTGGAAATGAAAGAGAGTAATAAAACCCCGAGATAAGAACCGGCCATGGGCGTGGTAATATTTCGTTTCAGGTAATTATCGGGTAACACTAATGCTAACAAAAATGACATGGATTGGAAAATCGACTATCTACAGACTTTTAAAGGAAACAAACAATGAACAAGATACTGTAAATCCCCCAAAATCATCTACAGGGAGGTCAAAAGTCGTTATAGATGATTTCTTCAAAAATGTCATTCGCAGAAAAGTACACTCATTTTATTTTAAAAAAGAAATACCAACGCTAAACAAAATTTTAAGTGAACTTTCAGAGGACAACGATTTGCCAAAAATCAGTAGAAGCAAATTATGGGCCGTCTTACGAGAGTTGAATTTTTGCTGGGAAAAGCAGAACAGGAAGTCAGTTCTTATCGATAAAGATGAAATTATTTGTTGGCGAAGATCCTACTTAAGATCAATTAGAAAATTCCGTGACGAAGGGAGGAATATTTATTATCTAGACGAAACTTGGGTCAACGAGGGATATACTGTAACAAAAGTATGGCAAGATAAAAATGTAAAAAGTTTTCGACAAGCATTTTTGGATGGACTTTCAACAGGGTTCAAGGCACCTTCAGGTAAAGGGCGAAGATTAATAGTGACACATATAGGTAGTGCCAGTGGTTTTGTAGATGGCGGTTTACTTTTATTTGAATCTAAAAATACAGGTGACTATCACGAAGACATGAACGCAGATGTTTTCGAAGAGTATTTTACACAGATGTTGGATCTTATTCCTCCGGGGTCTGTAATTGTCATGGATAATGCCAGTTACCATTCACGGCAGACCGAGCGGACGCCTACGACTGCTTGGAGGAAAGCCGATATAATTCAATGGTTATCCGGAAAAAACATTTCTTTTGAAACAAATATGGTGAAAAAGGAACTTTTGACACTTGTCAATCTTAATAAAGATCAGAAAAAATATGTTATCGATGAAATGGCAACAAATCGCCAAATAACGGTACTACGGTTACCACCTTATCACTGTGAACTTAACCCAATCGAATTAGTCTGGGCGCAGGTAAAAGGAGATGTAGCGCGAAATAATACGACGTTTAAATTAAGTGACGTGAAAATTTTGTTAAAAAATTCCTTGGAACGAGTAACTGCAGATAACTGGCAAAGATGTATACATCATGTACAAAAAGAAGAGGAGAAAATGTGGGAACTCGATAATTTAATTGACGTTACTGTGGAACCTATCGTTATCAATCTAGGAGACGAAGATAATTCATCAGAATATTCAGAGGATGAATTTTAATATACCTACTTTTTTATTTTCTTTATTGTACATTTATACAACACTACATTTACTCACCATAATTTGAATTTTCAAAATACATATATTTTTGTGTGGAATAAAAGTCTATTCATTAAATTTAAATAAATATTTTGATAATAATATTGAATAATTTTATTTGAATTACTAAAAACCCTCTTAACCCGGTTATGATGCTTAAAGTAGCCTCATGTTTTGAAATGCTGTTTTTATATTGTTTACTTATAAGAGAAATGGACCGAGAAATTGAAGCGGCATAGACAAAGACGGATTGTCGGGGATTAAATTTTAGCTACCTGCTACAATTTAGTACAATCCAATCGCACAAAGTTTTTTTAAAAGTACACCTCATCCTATACCGATAATACATAATATAAAAATATTGAATATAAGCACCAGTACTACATTTATTTACGATTTGCATACATAAGCTTTTATTGCTCTCTTTCATTTCTAAACAGACTATAATTGCATGACACTTAACAAAATCAAAGTAGGTACGTGATTTGTAATTTTATGGAAGTTATAATATGTCAAGTGTGTCCTTAGTGTCTATATAAAAAAATATTTACTTCATTTGTTGACAGCATGAAAAGTGGTTTAATGTATTAAGGAAATTTTTTTAAACTTATCTTGTACACTTATGCAAGTTATGTTATTTCTACGCTACATAAGTATGTATATTATTTTTATTTAATCCACGCCTCAAAATATTGTCAGAGGTGTACGTATTTAATACAAAGAAAATTACTGTCAAACACGTCATGTACTTGATCCGCGCTGAGAGATTGTTCGGCAGCGTACATTTATATTTAGATTTGTTTTTGAGTCTTGTTCCTCTATTGTTGAATTTAGAATATTCAAAAGTATATTCATTGAATATTTCCGTTACGTAGTTACGTGGCATCACCGATCTTATAAAAAGTAATAAATCCCGCCGATACTTTCAATAGTTCGAAGATAAAACATTTTTGTCTTATCTGTATTTAGTGATAAATAAATTATTGTTTATTCTCTGCCATTCGAAATTTATCGTTGTGAAACCAAGTATTCAAATGGCTATTTTGCACAGTGCTGTCATTTTTGGTAAGTTTTATATTTTATAAAGATACGACAGTCGATAAGTAATCGATAAAACAGAATGCTTTTTTAGAAAGGAACGTATACTTCATAACAAAATTATAATAAATATTTAAAAGCGCCTTTTTCATCTTTTGTTGTTTTTTCTTCATTTCTGTGTGTACTAGGTATAATTTTAATATGATTATCTTTCGTAATTTTAACTAAACTTATCCTAACGTCATTAATTTAAGTATCTCATTAAATTTAATACTAACAAAGCGTAAGTTTATAAGTACGTACTGGTAAAAAAACTGATTACAGATTTGTATATGCCCTTTATCTGTAAATACCAGATATATTTATAGCAATTACTTCATTGCAATAATATATTTAGTAATAAATAAGTCCTAGTAAAATAAATTTCATCTCTAGGTATACACGTGAAATAGGTAAATATGGTATATTTCACATCACAAAATATTCCAATATTGGCATTTCTTAATTTTCACTCTTAAACCACGTGGAAAGCAATTGTGAAATAAAATTATTCTATTCATTATGTTTTTTGCTACCTGTTAAAGAAATAAAAGAAGAAATAAATAAACATTTGTAATAAAGGAATCAATGTACAGTATTTTTTATGGAAGTATAGTTGCCCATTGAAAAAGCGCACAAATAAAAATTTAAAAATACGCGTCTCCACATCACATCACTTAGTTTATCTTTACGTACATTTTACATTTAAAACCTAATTTGTAATTTTGTAAACTATTTTCGAAACTATAATTACTGAAACAAAAACAATTTTTAACTTGTGCTAAAAGCTATCATACGGTGCTAGATAAACTTTCCTACAGGGACAGAAAAGTTGTTTTTACAGCATTTCAATCAAACTCAACAACAACCCTCATTAATTTGTGGTCGCTAGATTGAAATGGGTGTATTCCTCCTCCCTTACTAATTAAAAAGCTGTATAGTTTGCTCTACCCGTATCACTCTGGATCCCTGCATAAAAATATTAGTTCGGTATGCCCCAATGCTCATTGAATTAAGGATATATTTAATTTATCCTTTAAAATTTATTTAACTATGACCCAAATTGTCGCTTCAGGATGTTACAGATAATGTAGGCAATATCTAGGGAGGTGATATACGTCGTCAACTTAACACAAAACGTTCTTAACAATATGTATCAATAAAATCCTTTGTTTCTGAGATCCAGCGAGTCAAATGTTCATCTGAAGCTCTAGATTTTCTTTTATAACTAGAAAATTATACTCCCACAAAATTGGAAAGATGCTGAAGTTCATTATTTGCAACGTACTAATAGAAGAAAGAATTTTTGAGGTATATCTTGGACGTCACTAAATGACAGATGATCACCTCATCAAAAATAATTATACTAGCAATAGGTATTACAGACTAACTTTTTTTGAGATATTCGATAAACAGTATTTAAAATAGTTAAAGGTAAAGAAACCGTCAAGATTTAACTGAATTTGGTTTACCTTGTTAGCTTTAAATGTATTCAAATTGGTCCGCCCTTGCTTCTACACAGATTTTCGAGATAATCAATATACTTCTAAATTTTCCCTGCATCACTGTCAATTTGATTTAAACTGGTAGTGAATGAGTAGTAGTAGGTTTTCTGTTCAAAACTTATTAAAACATTTAATTTAATTCAGTAACTTACGATTTGGCAGATCATATTGTCACGAAAGATTTCTCAGCCTTGCAACCTAATAACCAAACTTTTCAACGAATTTATCAACCTTTATGTGGAATTGGTACAATGAAAAAAATGGAGAGAAAAATGGAAATGAAAATCGTGAAAATATAGACGCTGTAATTTTGAACGAAATTGAAGATAACAAATACAACCACACACAAAAAAAAGTCGAAACCCAAGAGAGCCACTTATCTTTTCCGAAAGGAATTCGATGCGCTGAACACGATCCTGTAGTCAAAATTCATGACTTGACAACAAATTTCGGAGAAAAGTGAAGTTTTTGGGTGAAACTGATCCAAATATGGGTCAAAACAATCATATTTAATTCTATAATTAAGTATAAAGAATATCCACAAGTACGGAAAGAGTCGCGAATATGCCCCGTTTATAAAAAAGGGACTAAAAACGACATAACTAATTATCGGCCCATAGCTATTATAAGTAACTTTTCAAAAATTCTAGAAATTTTCTTACACAATCGACTTTATTTTCATATTGAAAAATCTATATCTCCGTACCAACATGGATTTATGAGTGGTCGTTCAACTACCTCAAATCTAGTTGAGAAAACCCAATTTATTGCTGAAGCTTTGGATGCAGGAAGTCAGGTTGATGTTGTGTATACCGACTTTTCTAAAGCTTTCGATCGGCTTGATCACAATTTATTAACTTTGAAATTGGAGTCTTATGGTATATCTCCTGCTCTATTAACTCTGTTTAAATCCTATTTTAGTAATAGGTACCAATTTGTGCAGTATCGAGGCTTTCAATCATGTAAATTCCATCAATCTTCAGGAGTTCCGCAAGGGTCAATTCTGGGACCACTGTTATTTATTATTTTTATTAATGACTTAACTGAATGCCTCGATGTCAACTATTTACTATATGCGGACGACCTGAAGTTATTCTTGGAAGTTAAATCATCTACTGACTGTACTACATTACAAGATAATCTTGACAGATTACACAATTGGTGTTCATGTAATAATCTACCTCTGAATGTAAGTAAATGTAAATTTATGACTTACAGTCGACGCAAAACTAATCTAGATTTTGATTATAAAATTGGTGAATCTTTTTTAAATAGAGTTACGCAATTTACTGACCTTGGTGTTACTTTCGATACCAGATTATCGTTTGACGACCACATTAGTTTAGTAACCAAATCTGCTTATAAGAATTTAGGCTTTATTTTGCGTAATTCTAAGGACTTTCAGAACGTAAAGATTCTAAATATATTGTATGCAGCATTTGTGCGTTGCAAACTTGAATATGCATCGGTTGTTTGGAGTCCCATTTATAATATCTATAATATTCATTTAGAGAAAGTACAACGGAGATTTTTAAAGACTATTCATTTTATTAGTTATGGATTTTATCCTCCTCGTGGTACACCTCAAGATTTATTGCTTTCTTGTTTTAATTTTAATAGTCTCTGTCGTAGGCGAATTATGTTTTCAATTATATTCCTTTTTAAAATCATAAATAACACGTTAAATGCAGACTCGTTAGTCTCAAGGATTTTATATCATGTTCCTAGACTTAATTCTAGATTTCACTCCGTTTTACAATTACCCACACCTCGTACCAACTTACTAATAGCATCTCCCCTATATCAAATGATTTCCAATTACCAGAAGTATGAAGATCGACTTGATATATTTTTTCATTGTATGAATGACATAAAAAAATTGTTTGTCTAGTAAATGTAATCCTTATCTTGTATATGTTTGTTAGCTTATTTGTTTTATCTGTCTGTTATTGTTTATCCTTAAGTTTTTTGTCTGGATTTTATATTTTGATTGCTCTATGTTATGTAGTATTTATATTTTTATATTTAATGTTAGTTTGTCTTTTTCTTTTAAAATTTAGTTAAGGTTTTCTGTTTTACCTTATCCTATAATTGGGACTTTGTCCCGTTGGATATTGTAATTTCTAAATAAATAAATAAATAAATAAATAAATAAATAAATAAATAAATAAAATAAAACTGATTTTTTCCTAAATTTTGTCCAAATATATCAATTTTGTAGTACTTTGAGGCGCTGAATGCGATACCTTTAGGAAAATTTACCCATGACCTCGATAGTTCTCAGAAAGTCCACTATTTGGGTGAAAATTGGCTCCAATATGGGTCAACCATTTTCGTAGTATTTTGAGGCGCTGAATACGATAACATGGTGAAATTTATCTCTGAGCTCGATATTTCTCAGAAAACCAAAAATAGTGCTTTCTTACGTACCTGAAAATTAAAAAAGTAATCACTAAGAACTTCATGAGAAACTTAAAGCTTTTACCTCCAACATCAAAATAAAAATTCCAAAATTATTGACCACTCTGTTTGATAAAGTCACATCTTTAGGATTAAAATTTGAAAAAATTCATCAAATTTTAAAAGTTAGGCGAAGTTGTTGGATGAAAACATACAGGCTGTCTACTATTATAAGAGAGCCACTCCTATGAATCTCGCTTAATATACGATGCACGTCAAAAATCTTTATATGTTTTTGTTGCATTTTTTTGGGTCATTATGATCGTAAAAACAAATTTGAGATCCATGATCAACTTTATGAGAAATCATAAAAAACTGGAAAAGTACAGAAAGTTTAGGGCCGTTTAAGTTTTTTATTTTAAGAGATAGAGAAATTTTATTTTTATAAAATTTCATGGCAAAATTGATATCTTTCACCTAGTGCAAACAGATTTTTAAAATATTGTATGTAATTTGTTGCGCCCTCTACGCGGGCAAAAAAAAATTGTCATCGAAGCAGGCTGTGGCTACAAAAAATTGCTTGTTTTTTCCTCTTTCATGCGATATACTACATGTTGCCTGTATCTTTTATATTTATTACATTTTTTATAATTTTAGTATAAAAATGTAAACATTTTCGTGTTAACGTAGAAATTGTTGTAGACATGTGTCAACTATAAAAAAATTAATAAATATAATGAATACACTTCTTTTAAGCAAAATACACATTTTTATAATATTGGTTTTTTACTTTAGAGAAAACTGAGCCTCCAACATTGTTCTTGCACAGACAAAGTAGCTTACGCTAAATGTAGTACGCTATGAAAACAGATGTGTTATCCCAGTAATATCATTATGTAACAAATCGTTTATTGTTATACTTAGTTTATACATAACTGTTGGTTTGGAAATTGGTACAGTTAACTGTGATTTGAAAAACTAAAAATTTTGAATAATAATGATATTTTCACATATTGAGAAGTGTAATATGTTTGTATCAATGCAATTTCAATTATATTCAAGCACTTGCGGAATGTAGAAAAC